TGCAAGCCTGTGACACGGTGAACCTGCAGAACATTGGTAAGTGCCTCTGTTTGTGTGTGTGTGTGTGTGTGTGTGTTGGGGAGGATTAGTATTGATCCTCTGACATCACTCCCAAATGTTGCATCGATTAGCCATCTATTTGATGTTCTGTCCATGCAGTGCAGCACACACTAATGACTGAGTCACATGTTGCTCACCAACACACACATTTACACACAGAACAAACAAACATGCAGTGCTTTATTATACCCCTTTAGATTATATTGCATTTGACAGAATTCAAGCTAAATATTTCTCAGTGTGAATAGTTACAAATATATTTGTTTTCTTACATTGTGTTCTTCTCTGTGGTAAATCTCACTTTTTTTTTTTGTACATTTCCAGACTGAATACGAACAATAAATCAACACATCCCCAGTTACCCCTCTTGCAATTACAGAATTACAATTTTACAGAAGATTCTTTCTTATCAAAGTAACTTACAGAGAAAAGCACATTTAGGACATGTCGTTAAGAATACAAGTAGTGCTAAAGCTAGATCTTAAGAGTAACACGAATGATATAAGAATCCCTCAGCATTTGTGAATGCAATGTCGATATTGTTGTGCTAGATTAGATCTGAGTCTCTAAAAATGATGACCATGGAAAAAACTCAGAACCCACTACTGTTAATATTATTTTACAGGAGAACAACACATGCTCACTGTGTTATATAGTCAAACCATTGTGTAATATTCTGAATACCCGACTTATTAATCATTTACATTTTCCAGGACAGAGAACATCGCATTCATGTCATGGCTACATTTCTTTATACAGAGAATGGTCCAGCAGAGGGCGGCAAGCATCAGTTGAAGATACTGTTTCTGAACGTTGTAGGAAGTTTTGTTGCAAAGAGTGTTTCATTAATGTACTTCTTTGAAGCCTCCGTTCAACAGGAGACATTCCAGATTGGTTTTTTTTATGTTTTGCTTTTTCTTAAGACAGTAATTTTGCTCTGTAAATCAAACACAATGAAATATGCCCATCTGGGGGGGGGGGGGGGGAATAATAGTATGTTCATAAAATATAAACTCTTTCATATTTTAATACACTTATGCTGCAAATGATCCTTATTAAAAGACAAAAACTACTGTAAGTGCAGCATTGTGCAATATTATTTCTAAACAGTACAATCTTTTTTAAAGAAATACTGTAAATTGCACTACAGCAGGTTTTGATTTTTAAATCACTTAAATCACCATTGTTAATATTATTTATGAATGATATTCTCCATAGGAGAATAAAACAATGTGCACAGAAATTAAACAAATCAATATTTGTCTAATAAATCTCTTTTTTTTCAGTAGGCTATTTAAAACTGTGAAGAATGCACACTATTGTTTTTCCAGTGATTACTCTGAAACAATGCATATTTGCACGTGACAAGCACAAAACACATTACCAAAACACCAATCCTTGAAAAGAAAACTAGTTTTGAACCGGATTTGTGTGAGAGTAGAAAGTTCTTTCTTTCTTCTTAACTGTCTTTACGAGAACACAGTATCAAAAACCACATCGTCCCCCTCCTACACAATCCACGGATACCGTGTTCTCTATCTTCCTCCCACAAAGGTCATCAGAGACGAAGAGAAACAGGTATTCTGAATAGTAAATAATCAGTTTTGCAGGATCATTTCAACAGTGTGAGAATGTGTTCAGGCAATTGCCCTTTACGATAATTTTCAATGTTTGTGTCTGCGTTCAACTCTGAAATTTTAACAATGAAATGAATCAGTCAGATGATTCACGATAGATGAATATTATGCAGCATTATTCATTCCCATTGGCACTTATGCAATAATAAAACAACTATATTTGGGTCCTTTTATTGTACTTTCTTTCTGTTATTCTTATGCAAACTTTCAGAATTGTGCCGTTTATAAAGATATGTTTGTTTGTGCAGCATGATAGACAGTTTTGCAACTTTGATTTAGTTTGGCTTTAAGTTCATAAGTACATCATAAAAAGCCAAAGTGAGCATCACAACTTTATAGTAAATGCCGTATTTGCCACAAGACCAGAGGAAGTCTCTGCAACTGATTCTGCAACTCAGCCTGCCAATAACCGCTGTCAAACTCTATCAGCCTTTTGAGCATTCAATGAAAGTTCAGCGTTTAATGACATCTAAGTAAATAAAGACCACAGGAAATGTGAAATGTGAACATGGCGTTTTTACGCCCACATGCGTCAAAGAAAACATTTTTGTTTGGCGGTGTGAATTCCGTCACTGATGTAAAGCTGCTTGGTCCACACTTTTGGGTTTTTTTTTCTTCTTTTCTCAGTTATTGTCTGATATTGTGTTTTTTTTCTGTTATAGATGAAACACAGCATCCTGTTAATTAAGTTATATGAGGAAAACAAATAATAGAGATGTAGCCTATGATTTAACATTATATACCTCCAACAGAGAAACTGAGGATGTGTAAAAAGATTACAGTTAGTTTTATATTAAAGTGTTGTGTTCATTTTTTCTCTTTGGTCTATAAGACCATAATCTTCAATTACTCAAACAAAGTCATATAGGATGTAAACAAACACTGCATAATGTTATGTAATCGGGTTAAGTATGTTCGCTGATGACTTGCCATAACATAACACTTTTTTTGATATTCATCATGCTGGGACTGTTAGGCATCAAATACGGTATTGCTACAGTGTGGACTGAAATTTGCACCATGTATCATTTTCTGAGTAAGTCTGCACACATGAATTCGTGTTTGAGTGAGTGTGAAGACAGATTAAAGTTAGTTTATTTTTGTGTATGAACATTAAGACATTAAATTATGTTAAATTATGCCATCATCCCTCTAATTTAAAGATTTGGGGAAATAATAGTTTTTCTATAGGGTTGTCATTGGATAACCGTGTACATACAGTGTACATGAGTACTGAAATAAAATTCTTTAACAAACCCCAAACTAAAAGATTATATACATTTGGTTATAAATTTAACGACAAATTTAAAGGTGGAAATAAACAGGTTTTTAATGATTTTGAGACATTTAAAACAAAGAACTTTATGATGTAAAAAAATTAAAAAATATTTAATCTCTGCAATATTTAGATAATCAATCAAGGAAATTTGTGACACTGCTATGTTAACACTTGAATAAATGGTAAGATGTTCTGGCTTTCATTGAAGCACAAGATGCTCTTTGGTACGTTCTCATATGATCAGCAGGTTTTTATGAAACTATGCAATTTATGCAGCTTGAGCGCTGCTATCATTCAAGCAAAAGGGATCATACCAAAATAAACTAAACTGAAAAATCCAGAAATTCAGAGATTTGGAATCATTTTGTAGCCCAATGCCAGTATTGTAACTTGTAAAGAAACAAATCGTATTCAATTAGAAAATGCAAAACAGAATAATGTTTACTACTATATATAAACTAGACTATGGAGCAAAAGTAGCATATGGTTTCTAGTTTAATACAACATGTAAAGATAGATACAGTGGAGTCCAAAGGTCTGAGACAGCACTGAAAAAAAATTTTTTACCTGGAAATAACAAAGATATACGATTTATATCTTTGCTTATAAATAATGTAAACAAGGAAACTTCATGACAAATTAAAAATGCATTTAAATTACAAATGTATATTTATACTGTTTAGAAATACATTTATATAAATTATTCAATTGTATGTAGTTATATTAAATCATGTAAATCTCACAATTTATATTAATGTAATGTACAGTTGTGCTCAAAATTATTCATACCCTTGGTAAATATGATCAAAGAAGGCTGCGAAAATTAATCTGTATCATCAGTCCTTTAGATATTTCATTTAAAAAATTTACTAAAATCTAACCTTTCATTGGATAATAAGAATTTAAAATGGGAGAGAGATCTCATTATGAAATAAATGTTTTTCTCTAATATACATTGGTCACAATTAATCCAATACTTTTTGCAACCTCCTTTTGCCAAGAGAACAGCTCTGAGTCTTCACCTATAATGCCTGAAGAGTTTAGAGAACATCTGACAAGAGATCAGAGACCATTCCTTCATCCAGAATCTCTCCAGACCCTTCAGATTTCCAACTGCGTGTTGATGCTTCTCCTCTTCAGTTCACCACACTCTATTGTCCAGCTGTAACCATGGCCCATTATAAGATTTCTAGCATGGACAGTCAGTTTTTAATTTTTTATCCATTGGTATTTTATAGAATCCATTATGGCATCTATCTGAACAAGATATCCAGGATCTCCGGCAGAAAAATAGGCCCACAACATTAAAGATCCAGCAGTATATTTCATTGTAGACATGGGGTACTTTTTTTTTTATCCCTGTGTGCACCAACCCCATCTTGAATGTTTGCTGCTAAAAAGCAAGCAATTTCATCTGACCATTGAACCCAGTCCCATTTAAAGTTCCAGTTGTGTCTAGCAAATAAATATGCTGGAGTTTGTTTTCGGATGAGAGCGTTTTCTATTCTAGTTTTTTCTTGAAACCCTCCCAAACAACATTGTTTTTTTTAGGCTTTCTGACCCCAAGACTCAACTATTTTCTGCAGTTCTCCAGCTGTGATCCTTAGTCTTTGGCCACTGAAACTCTCCTCCTCACCGTGCATTAGGACGATATAGACACACGTCCTCTTACTGTATTAGAGAAAAATATTTATTTCATAATGTCATTTCTCCCCACTTTCACTTTTTTAAAAACTATAATTAAAGGTTAGCTTGTTTTATTGTTGTTTTTTTGTTTTTGAATTAAAGATCAAGTGGATAAACAATGCGTATTTATTTTCACAGCCTTCTTTGATCATATTTATCAAGGTTATGGATCATTTTGAGCACTGTAGTATACTGCATTCAAAATAAAATCCACTGAAACACGTGGAACGGCTGATTCATCTCCAGTTAACAACAGCTCACAGAAACTACAAGACCCACAAGCCCACTAAGGGCTAGGTTGTGTTTATGTGTGAGTGATTGAGCGCCTGTGTGTGCGCGCGCGCTTGTGTTGTCGGCCGACTCGCCTGACGTCACCGCTGGAACTGCCCTGTCACGCGCTGTTAGTAAAAGTTGGGATAGGAGCTCGAGACGGAGAGCAGCAGCGAAATTACGGACGAGCTCGATCAACGGTCACGCTGTATGAGGTGTTATTCGTGCCTTTTCTAAGGCTTAGCAGGAGACGCTCACCCCTCCCACCGCTTCACGCCACGGGCAAAAAGTTCAAGCCGCTGCGAGATCGCTGAAGCTCCGCAGAGGGTCGAAGAGTTTGGATTATTCTGAAGGAGAAGCAATCATATTTCTGCCCGGGCTTAGAGAAGTACAGCGCGGAGGAAAAGTTTAAAAGTTTCACCTTTATTTGTAGTCAATGTAGTGAGTTTATTAAAGAGTCGGCGTTCTTACACGGGTGAGCCCGAGCTGTCAAACCCGATGACTACTGCAAACTGCCCCGGGAATGAAGAGCTGGACTTCAGATTGATCTTTGGAGAAGACGGGCAGCAGCCGCCGCTAGGCCCCGCAGGTCAGTGCCTCTACCTCGGGATACTCTCACACACTGCTTCGGTGTAGATTAACTCATGAATCATGCATGGAGAAGTGAGGAGGTCGATAGCAAATGCAAAACACGTTATCAAACGCAGCAGCGCCGCGCCGTTAAAACGACAGCGCTCGCCGGCTTTTCGCTTTACGCAAGCAGCTACAGTTTTGTTTAGTTTCTTGTGCGGTTGTAAATTCAGCCAATGAAAATGCGAAGCGGTAAATTTAGGCGCTGAGTGAACTAATATATAACCAAAGAGTACCTAAGCTGGTCACAGCGGCTCAGAACCTTTTTAGCTGCCTGCCTAGACAGCGTTTTTGAACAACATACATAGGCGCGTTTGAGTGGTTCGACAGAGCCACCATGAATCTGACAGCTGCTGCACAGTGAAATGCTATAAAAGTTGATCACTCGCCCCTGCCTTCAGCTAGAGCACATGGAAAAAGTTTCAACCCTTAAGTTTCCACTAATAACTTGCTAAACTTACACCGTTTCATTTCTCCATTTTACTCTTATTTACATCAATATATCAACAATAGCTAGTTTTGTCACCGCGTTTGCAGGTGATACCATTTTATTTAAATGCACGAATATATAAATGAGTCATTATCACAGTTTAGAGAGAGGTGTCTCTGTTTTTCCCTTTCTAAATAGTGGTTACACATTTTGGAGCACGTATTATCTTTTAGTTTGGATAAGATCCAAAAGACAGAATATAAACATGCTTGGTATGTAATTAATCAAACATCTCCCTAAAGTCATAAAAATTCAATTAAGTATTCTTGCTTATGTCATTAACATAATTTACATTGCTTTCAACTAGCTATTATATAATATTTAATTTAGCTTTATCGCATGCCAGTCACATTAAGTGAGAAAAACAGAGTAAAACTGATATTTTTTTACTTAAAATGCTATTATCAAACAAAGTTGTTAAATTCTCAGTAAGTGTTTCCACTTCATGTGTAAATGTATATGATACTAGTATTTATTAGGATGATTATTATTTTCTAATCACTTTTTTTGTTGAATCCCTCAGTATTTTGTTAAAAGTTTGTCATGTCAGATGTATAATCAGCAGTGCAGATTGTCTCCAGTTTGTGACCACCATACATGGCCTATGTGTGTGTGTTTGTGTAATTGCCTAATGAAAAAACGTGTGTGAGAAGTGGCAACCCTATCAGCCCCTGTCAGTGTGCGCGAGTGTGTTGTGAAGGACAGAGATTTGGCTATAGTGAAAGCAGAATGCCTTTGTGTGGGTGGACCCCAGTGTGCTTTTGTTTAAGTTTTGCATGGGTTTTTTAAAGTATTGCATGATCAGTAAATTGCATATGGAGATTGCATACATTGCTAGGCAAATGAGGACTGAGCATTTTGTGTCATATTTTAAAAGAATGACCACCATGTTTTGTATATTATGTAAAATACTGTACCATTGTGTTTTAAGCAGTAACCTAGTGTAATTAAGGAGGCTTTGCTACAGGAATCAGTGAATGTACAAAGATCTTTTACCTCAGAAATGACCGCTTGATGGTCAGAGGAAAAGGGAAAACCTTTAATTTGAGACAGAAGTTTGGAGGATGTTTTTGGACTAAATGTTGGAAATAAAAGAACCTCTGTGTGCAAGTGATTTTCAGTCTATTGCACTGTATAATTTGGACCGTATGTAGGACTTGTAAACACATACGCAGGTGTTTTGAGATAATTATGAAATACAATTGGTAGTGTGTATGTATATTTTCTTTTTTTCAGCTACCGTATGCAGTCCAATTTTATCCTTATAAAGTGTAGAGTATTGAGAATTTCAAACTCATGTTGTTTAATAAAGGAGCAGAGAATATCATTTTTTAGCAACTTAAATTTGTATCCTGCCCCATTGTTTTGCGTTATTAACAGCTATTGACTAGAGAAAATATAATAGTTACATTTGATAGAAAATGCAAATTCTTTGTCAGTAGGTTAGGAAAGTTTCATATCCTAATTAAAAATATTAATTTATAAAGGCAAATAGAAATATATTCGTTTTTAGTTGTTGAACAGGTTTTATCCTAAGTGATGTAGGTGTCCGTTCATGTCAAGAAGTCATCAGGACTTTAATGCAGCTAAAGGGCAGGGCTGTTGTTACTATACACACTTATTAGTGTTTTCTGTGCCTCTGGCTGTTGTTAGAAAAAGATAACGATCAGTTTTTTTTTCTTGTATTTGTTAATAAAGCTGAGACAGTTCAAATTAGATCAGGATTTTCTGTCAAAGTATCATCAGGTCCTATTTAAATTTGATGACTCAGTCTTTTAGTTTTGGCTGATCTGGTATGTTTTTATTAACTAATTTTAATGACCAAAAACTTTCTGAAACTAAATGAGAACTTTCTCAGAACTCCAGGCATGACATTACGGCCACTGAAATGCTGATCAATGTAGGCATTTGCACATTTACAGATTGAGATGGGGCAAGCTGTAATTCAGATGTTTATGCAGATTTATTTTTAAAATTTATAAATATTAAAGGTTTATGACCTAACTTGCCCGTTTTGTAGAGTAATTACGGTAATTCTCCCAAAATGCAGTTAGAGACAGAGGGGAAAAAGAAACTACAAACGGATGTAAAAATGAATAAAACAACAAAGATGAGAATACAGTTCTGACAAACAGGAGGTGTGTGTAGTGTTAGACGCAGTTTTAGTGCACATGCACATGCACATTCTCACTCACTCATTCGTTACAGCACTGCTGCGCTAGTCTGTAAGAAACCTGATTTGTCGTTGCTTATATTGCTGTTATTGCAATTGTTACACCATCAATACATTTGTCAGGCTCAACCATTCAACCCTGTTACTCAAGTTACTGTAAGAATACTGATCATTCTAAATATTCGGTAACTGTAATCTAACCTTTAGTCCCAAACTAGCTTAATTTAGACTGTATTGTATGTGCAAACCTGTTACCCTTTTTCGTCTTCCCCATTTATTTTGTAATTGAACAAAATTGTGTATTTAATTGTCCATTTAATTGTGATATTTATGTAAGTTTTATTGCTAAAACGTAATCACACAAGTCGGACAGTTTAGACAAACACGGTTCCCAAATTCAGAAATCGCAAAGAGTTGTGAACAAAGAGTTTGAGGTCCTATTTTATACTCTGTCTGTGGAAAGTGGCAAAAATTTTAATCAGTATAGACCTCATTTTTTTCACAATTGTTCCTGATGTTTGAGCTGCTGATTTGATTCAAGGTGAGTTTTTGACCAGGTTTTGTAAGTTGCTGTATATTGAAAATGTACAAAAATGGATGGTAGTTCTGTTAGTTCTCAGTGGTTTTTAGTCCAAAGTGAAATCACACAGGAGGAATGTCAGCTCGTTTGGTTAATCTGTGAATATTTGCTTAGTGGCCATCATCACCTTGAATGACCCACCCCAGATGAACTTAAGTACACGTGAGTCAACTTTCAATTTAACTTTTTTTTTCTTCTGTAAAGCAACATAACAAAAGTAGAAACCATACAGGTTGTATTTAATTAATATTTATTTAGTTTAAATAAGTGTGTTTTTAAATTATTTATTTATTAATAATTAAGTCCTTTATAATTACTTTTTATCACTTTTCCCTGGTTAAAAAATAAAAAGTAAGAATAGATTAAGTTTCATTATAACAAAAAAAGAAAAGAAAAGAAAATAATTTTGACTAAATATCCTGTCACAGCAAATACATGTCATATTACTGAATCCAAACCACATCTATTGATGTGATTATCAGTCTATTGATTTATCTATTTATTATTGGTGAATCTCTGGTTGGAGATTATCATAAAGTATCAGAACACAAGCACACATTTTAATGAAAATTAACTGTTGCTAATTGTGTAATGCTTTCTCAAATTATTAATCTCAAATATGTAGATAAGATCGCAATACACAAAACTAGTATTTCATGCCCCTTGTTTGAAAGAAAGGTTGAGTGTGCAGTAAAAGTTACATAGTATCGCTGGGTATGAGAATCGATATCGTATCGTATCGTGACGAACCATCCGATTTACACCACTAGTAGTAGGGGCAGAAGGTGCTTTCTCAGGGCTGGGTAAAGTCAGATAGTGTGGCGCTGTCTGGCGTCGTGCCCAGGCACAGCATGTGGTCTTCAGATGGCAGTGGAATTCAAGGGGAGGGGCACAAGACCCTCCTGCCTAGACAGAAACAGGAAAGAGGCCTCAGTCTTTCTCTTCACTTTCTCTGTCTCTTCATCTTTTCCATCAGCAGTTGGCTTAAATCTGGAAGTGTGGTGTTGTTGTTGTTTTCATGGCAAACCTTTGCATCCATCTTCCTACAGTCTTCAGGCTCTGAAAAACCAGGTCAACAGTGCAAGAGCACCAGTCTGGAGGTAGTTTATGAGTGGGGAGCTAAATGTCTGTGAAAAAAAGGAGGACATGCTGTGTTTAGCGTCTGTGCTAGCATGCATCTGCTCATCTGGCTGGCTGTCTCGGTCGTGGGAAAGACTGAAATTACATCGCTCTCAGGGTGGGTTATTTTAAGCCACAGCAAAAGTGACAGAGGGCAGACTGCAGGTTCGCTAGTCCCGTCAGAGGAAAACTGCCCCCTAGACCAGCAAGTGCCACCGGACAAATTGCTGCACCTTTGAGCCCCGCACCACCTTACGCTGTGTGCCGAGCAGTAGAGAAGTGTTCAAATGCTGTGCACTACGTCTCCAGGTGAGGCCGCAGACTCAGGTGTAGCCTTGACGCTTGTTGGTCAGGGGACGAGTAATAGGGGGTAGCTTAGCCCAGGCAGCTTTATTTAGACCACAACAGCATAACTGCAAGCCGCTAGTGTGGTAGGATGTTACCAGGAAAGCTCTCGCAACATAAAACAGCTTTTTTGAGTGGAAAAAATAAATTGTTGTTGCTGCTTTCTAAGGCAAGCATTACAAACTTAGGTTTAGGGTTTCTAAACCTTTACTTAAGTATTCATCTTCAGGACATAACTCGTCCCAAACCATT